AAAAAAAAAAAAAAAAAAAAAGAGAGAGACCACCACTAGTCAAGACCACATTGCTACTCAAAGTGTAGTTTATAGACTAATATAATCTGTATTACCTAGGAGCTTATTAGAAATGTAAATTCCAGGCGAGGCGTGGTGGCTCACGCCTGTAATCCCAGCACTTTGGGAGGCTGAGGCGTGTGGATAACGATGTCAGCAGTTCGAGACCAACCTGGCCAGCATGGTGAAACCCCATCTCTACTAAAAATACAAAAAATCAGTTGAGCATGGTGGCGCATGCCTGTAGTCTCAGCTACTTGGGAGGCTGTGGCAGGAGAACTGCTTGAACCCAGCAGGCACAGGCTGCAGTGAGCCGACATTGTGCCACTGCACTCCAGCCTGGGCAACAGAGCAAGACTCCGTCTCAAAAACAAACAAACAAACAAAAAACCCCAAAAAACAAAAACGGCCGGGCACAGTGGCTCACGCCTGTAATCCCAGCATCTTGGGAGGCTGAAGCGGGCAGATCACAAGGTCAGGAGATCGAGACCATCCCAGCTAACACAATGAAACCCCGTCTATCCTAAAAATACAGGAAAAAAAAAATTAGCCAGGCGTGGTGGTGGGTGCCTATAGTCCCAGCTACTCGGGAGGCCGAGGCAGAAGAATGGCATGAACCCGGGAGGCGGAGGTTGCAGTGAGCCGAGATAGCGCCACTGCACTCCAGCCTGGGCGACAGAGCAAGACTCCGTCTCAAAAACAAGCAAACAAACAAAAAAACCCCGGAAATTCTGGGACTCCCACCCCAGCCCTGCTGAACCATACTCTGGGGATGTGGCTTTACCTTTGGAAACTCCTTCTGGCTATGACCTCAGCATGGCTATCATTGAGGATGTCTCCTGTGGCAAAGATAGGATACCAGGTGAAGACATATGGAAGCTGGAGAGGCTCTGGTTCCTAGAGGCAGAACACAGCAGTTCCACCAGCACCCAGGATGGCCATGTAGCTCCTGGAGAGCTTTGTCAGAAGGCACCACAATCACGAATAACAATGCATTGGCTGTAGGGTTTCTCAACCCAGCACTGTAGACATTTTGGGCCAGAAAATTCTTTGTTGTGGGGGGTCTATCCCAAACACTGTAGACTGTTTATGAGTAGTATTCCTGGCCTCTACCCATGAGATGCCACTAGCACCCCTCTCTCAGTTGTAACAACTAAAAATGTCTCCAGACATTGCCAAATGTCCTCTGGGGTGCAAATCACCCCCAGTTGAGAAACACAAATGTATAGAAAAACCTTATCTGGAGAACAAGGGTCCAGATCTTTTGTACAGAGGTATCATACTTGTGCTCATGGTGATACAATTCCATCTAATCCAATCCACAGTGATCCTGGAACAGGTTCCTCATATACAGGCAAGGACAATGGTGGAAGCCAACTCAAAAAGGAACCTGCTAGCTAGAAGAAGAGGTAAAGATCCCAGGTCTCGGCCAGTCACGCAGTGGCTCATGCCTGTAATCCCAGCGCTTTGGGAGGCCAAGGCAGGAGGATAGCTTGAGGCTGGGAGTTTGAGACCAGCCTCGCCAACACAGTTAGACCAAGTCTCTACAAAATAAAAATGAAAAAAATTAGCTGGGCATAGTGGTGCATACCTGTAGTCCAGCTACTCAGGAGGCTGAAGCGGGAGGATCACTTGAGCCCAGGAGTTCAAGGCTGCAGTGAGCGATGATGGTGCCACTGTACTCCAGTGAGACCCTGTCTCTTAAAAAAAAAAAAGAGGCTGGGCGCGGTAGCTCAAGCCTGTAATTCCAGCACTTTGGGAGGCCGAGACGGGCGGATCACGAGGTCAGAAGATCGAGACCATCCTGGCTAACAAGGTGAAACCCCGTCTCTACTAAAAAATACAAAAAAACTAGCCAGGCGAGGTGGCGGGTGCCTGTAGTCCCAGCTGCTCGGGAGGCTGAGGCAGGAGAATGGTGCAAACCCAGGAGGCAGAGCTTGCAGTGAGCTGAGATCCGGCCACTGCACTCCAGCCTGGGCGACAGAGCGAGACTCCGTCTCAAA